TCTTAAAATTCTTAAAATTAGACTTGTGCTGTCACTCTTTAAGAAACACAAAGTCATATTTTAAATATTAGTTTTAGTGATTATGAGAAAAATGAGAAAAATAAGGATAAAATAAAACATGATAAAAAATAAAGATTAATTGAATACAAAATTGTTTAATATCTCTTTTTTAAAAATAGTTGTTCATTAATATCTTTTTATTTTTATTTTTTGTTTATTAGTGTTTTTCTATTCAATATATATTTATTTTATCTTTTAATTGATATTATATATAGTATTATATCATCAATTAAAATTAGTTTATTGTTAAAAACTAACAAATTTTAGTTTAAAATAATTTTTTATTAAAATTTTCTTTTCTATTAGATTTTTTTATTAAGTTGTACAATTAGAAGTAATTTTTTTCATATTTTAATCTCACCTTACTTATATGACATGTAATTTAAATTCAAAATTTTTTGTTTTTACCAAAAAAATTATAATTAAATTATTCAAATCCTTGATATTTTTATTAACCTTTTAATTAACGAAAAAACACTTTTTTAATCAAAATTTCGTGCGGCCCCTTCTAAAAAAATTTTAAAAATTTGATGGCAAATGACAAAACTCTAAAATTTACTTCTTAGATACGGAATGAATTCATTAAAAAAAAACAAATAAGGACAAATTTTACTTTAAAATTTTTAATTGAAATAAATGACTTATTATTTAATAACTAATGTGTAATAATAACTTAAATTATTATAGGTGAATTTTTAATTAAAAATATGTCTAAGTAACAAATTGTCACGCCCCAGAACCCGAATTCGAGGTGTGACAGACGCCGTGCACTCGTGAACAGGTTCCACGAATGCACAAGGCTCGAAATTTATTCAATTCACGTCTGATATCACCAAAATCTACAGATAAAATCTTTTTAAAATTTATTCTGATATCATAAAATCTCCAAATACACTCTGGATTACAGATCACGATTTATTTCTAAAATCTATATCAACCTCGAAATGGCTAGCCTTCTAACTCTAACTCGTCACTCCCCTCGGTTTCCCCGTCCTCGGTTTCGCTTCCTGAAATGGTGGACAAGGAAAACTATGAGATAACTCAGTAAGTAAATATGGATAGCCCTTGGGTAAAACTTTTAGCATGCCAGGTAAACCATGTAAGTATAAAAGAACTCTCATTGATAAACCGTTAATGCGGAAATCAAATTCGGTTCAATAGCAAAACGTTCAATGACAAAACCGTCAATGCAAAATCAGATTCAGTTCAATAACAAAACGTCTCATAACAAACCGTTAATGCAAAAGAAAACTCAGTTCAGTAGTCTCATCTACAAGTCATGGCCAGTGTTATAACAACCCACTAGCAGGCGACAGAATGTGCCAATGTATTCGCCCAGTGGCAAGCGTCAGAATAAACCGGTCATATCAGTAAACATGTCGACATGTGCTAGCATTACACCCACTAGCGGGGATCGGAAATCATGACCATATCAGAGACAAAACCATGCAGGATTTACAAAAGAAATCTGTAATTCACAATCGAAATCCGTAAACCACAATCAAAATCCGTAATTCACAATCGAAATCCATAATTCACAATCGAAATCCATAACTTCAGAAATAACCAGAAAATTCCATGTGGGCATGGATTTAACAGAAAATCACAATTTACAAAACTCTCAGTTCATCAAAACAGTTCAGTCAATTTCAAATAGGCATGCTCTACTCAATGTAATGAAAACAACTTCATTCCAATCATGCTCAATTCCAGAAAAACAATGAAATCCTCATTTTCATTTCAATCATGCTCAATTCCAGAAAACAATGAAATTTTCATAAAAACCATTACAATTTACATTTCAGTTTAATCATACTCACATACCGATAAAATCAGTTTAAAGCTTGCCACCATCTCAAAAACAGTTTAAAACATGCTTTAAAATCAAAGGGCTTTACCATAATTTACTTACCTTACTCGCACAGAACAGAAGGCTAACCCAAGTGCTACAGTGACAGAACGATCAAAACCTAATCACAATATTCCACAATTAATACCGCATTACCACAAATTTACAGTAAAATCATCATTAGCACTACCCCTAATCACAGTGCTATTTCTATCAATCTCCACATAACCGGACATCTCTAAATTCATTCTTATATCACAAACTAAACCTTTAAATCCCCGTTAATCGTTGACCCTTGGTGTGTGAACAGTGCCTATGAACAGTACTCGTGAACAGTGCCCCACAGTGAACAGTGACGGTAACTTCAAAAATTTGGGCAAAACACTAGCTAATTTCACGGGGTTTCTCTCCAAAATCACAACAGGCAACTCAAGCAATTTACTACATGAATTCAACTTAAAACATGTTCAAAGGCTACCGGAATTTATCCCTATTTCAACAGAATTTCGGACTTCACAAAGGCAGCACTTAATCAAGCTAATTCTACCTTAATCAAGCTTAAAAACAATGGTTTAAGGCTGCCACATACCGGAATTTCTAGCTGCAGAACCGGACTTGGCAAGGGGAGAAGCCGGCGGCAGTGCAGGGGAAGCTCACGGGAAATCTACCCAAAAATTGGAGAACCAAGAGAAATCAAGGTTAACCCAAGCCAATTCAAGTGAGAAAAGAGGATTTAATGGCTGTTTCTTACCCAAAAATGCCCAGAATTCGCCCCTACAATAAGAGCAGCCGGCGGACAAAGCAAAGCAGATCCGGATTTTCCAGCAGGGGGGGGAGAATTTCTGGGTTCAAGAACAAGAGAAGAAGGAGAAAATCCCCAAGCTTCGCCGGATTTCCGGCCGGAAATGGGTGGCGGTAACGGGGGATCGTCGGGTGCAGAGGGTCGGGGGAGGAAGGAGAAGCAGAGCAGAAACACGCAGCTGGTGAGGAAGAAAAGAAAGAAAAAGAAAAGAAAAAGCAGTGGATCCTTATCCAAATTTCTTTCTTTTTAGCCCCTCAACTTTTTAAAATTTTGTGATTAAGCCCCAAAACAATATTTTTCCTCAAATAAATCCCTAATTTAATGCTAAAATACCCCCAAAATTTTGGGACATTACACAAATAAATTCTTAACATGTAATAAGGATGATTGCTAATTAATGAGTCATTTTTCTTAATCAACACTTTAAGTAAACAATTTATTTTTATTTTTTTAAGAAACAAATCTATCCTACTTGAGAATTCAGCCATGACAAATTAGTAGCTTGGTTAATTATTGAGTAGAAAGTATGGGACCATTGATGATATCCCTTGCAAAGGGAAAGGTGGAACGGGTGGATGTGACTCCATCTTCCAGTACACTTATTTATATATATACGAGGTTGGCGTATATTTTAATTTTTAAATTTTAATTTATTAAATATTGATATTTAAATTTAAAAATTGATTATATTTTTTAATATAATTAATTTTTAAATTTAAATATTAATATTTAATAAA